GGGCCTGGACATGCACTGGCTTCAGCAGGGGGACACGTCTGGCACTGCAGGATTTGATTCCCTGTCGTCGTAGTGTGTTACTGATGGTAACCTTTGTTACTTTGGTCCCAGCTCTCTGCAGGTCATTCACCAGGTCCCCCCGTGTGGTTCTGGGACTTTTGATCACCGTTCTCATGATCATTTTGACCCCACAGGATGAGATCTTGCGTGGAGCCCCAGATCGAGGGAGATTATCAGTGGTCTTGTATGTCTTCCATTTTCTGATAATTGCTCCCACAGTTGATTTGTTCACACCAAGCTGCTTGCCTATTGTAGATTCACTCTTCCCAGTCTGGTGCAGGTCTACAATTCTTTTCCTGGTGTCCTTGGACAGCTCTTTGGTCTTGGCCATAGTGGAGTTTGGAGTCTGACTGTTTGAGGCTGTGGACAGGTGTCTTTTATACAGATGAGTTCAAACAGGTGCCATTAATACAGGTAACAAGAGGAGGACAGAAGAGCTTCTTAAAGAAGAAGTTACAGGTCTGTGAGAGCCACAGATCTTCCTTGTTTGAAGTGACCAAATACTTATTGTCCACCATAATTTACAAAAAAATTCTTTAACAATCCTACAATGTGAATTCCTGGATTTTTTGTTTTCACATTCGGTCTCTCAACCCTAATCTCTGTTATTATTTTAAGTGGGAGGACTTGCACAGTCGGTGGCTGACTAAATACTTTTTTCCCCCTCTGTACACGGCACACAGAGACAGACACACACATACACACGCTGACGCACACAGAGACAGACGAGCACAGCCGCGGATCACAAAGCTCCTGTCAAAGTGATGCAGTCTCTGAACTGTATCACGGATGTATAATGATAACATGGATCCACGTCTCTGAAGCCTCAGTGAACGCCACACGATGTCAGCCGCTTCGTAAGCGAGCTTCACCACACACAGCACCAACACATGGTTTTTAAAATACTTCCAAATGACTCGCACACGCTCCGGAACTTCCACACGTTCACCACAAACTTGCGCCCGGGTGTTTCTTGCGTTTCATATTTGTTGTTTTCTCATTATGGCGCGGCTTTGACCGACTGCTACTTTACCAACTATTCTAATGCTGGAAACGACCCAGATTGTGAGTGGGTCTAACAAACGACTGTGGTGATGATCCAGAACACTAACATTCTACAACATCCATGGACATTGGTCAACTCTATGGACCAACACCTATGTGTTCTTTATATTTTGATTCTTAACTGTTGATTCTCTGATCTGTGTTGACGATTCAACAGCTTTGTTATGTCCTCTGAGATGACTACTGTTAAGATTTAGGGCTTAACAAGAAATGAATTGAAATGAATTGGTCAGCTTCCCCCTATGGACCAATACTTATGTGTTCTCTATTCTTTGTATTTGAACTGTTTGATTCTCTGATCTTTGTTGGCAATTTCAACAGTTTTAAGTCCTCTGATATAACTACTGTTATCTAAAAATGTAATTGACAGTACTGCTAAAGCCTGGTCTTAGCCATCCATAAACTCCAGTCAGTTATTATTTCCCTACATCTATAAAATGAAATTTGTCCAATGTGATACGACCAGACTAGTATTGCTCCATCACTCTGCCCTAAACTACAGTGTTGTAATGTAGTAGGTAACAGTGTGACTTGTTGATAATCAGCCCTCTCCAATTCCTCATCATAAATATTTGGTCAGAAATGCATTGCTTTGTATATTTAATGTTTACTTGGCTGACATGTCATCAAAACCATGCCTCGGTGACACTGGGGATAGTGAGTGTGAGCATCCTACCGGAGAGCTTCAAGAAGGATGTTGACTATTACTATTCTCTCTGTCCGGGACGTGAGAGGTCTAAAGGCGTACACACGGATTACATGCTGTTTGTGGAAGTAAGAATAACGGTTTGTTGGGTTGAACATTAGGCTTCCTACAGGGATATGTTTAAGCTCCTGGTGTGTGGCAGTTGAGAATGATTAAAGCTGCACTAACTGACTTTGGGATTTTGAAGCCGTGGACTCGCTGGCCTCTTTCTGCTCCCCTCCCCGCACCCACGAAGCTATCGCCCCCCACACACACTCACTGTTGGGACAGAGCTAGCGTCTCCCAATATGGATAATACATGGACATGGATTTGCACGTGGATGGCGTGACCATAGAACGATAAAACCGGGAAGCGCGGAGGAACGAGACTCTTTTGGATGGCTGTCTCGCTGTGTAAGCAGTAACCGGTGACGAAGACGAAAGCTTCAGGTTAGCTCCGCCGCTTGTTGTGCTAACTCAGCTGTCTATGCTAACTCAGCCGTCTATGCTAACTCAGCCGTCTATGCTAACTCAGCCGTCTATGCTAACTCAGCCGTCTATGCTAACTCAGCCGTCTATGCTAACTCAGCCGTCTATGCTAACTCAGCCGTCTGTGCTAACTCAGCCGTCTATGCTAACTCAGCCGTCTATGCTAACTCAGCCGTCTATGCTAACTCAGCCGTCTATGCTAACTCAGCCGTCTATGCTAACTCAGCCGTCTATGCTAACTCAGCCGTCTATGCTAACTCAGCCGTCTATGCTAACTCAGCCGTCTGTGCTAACTCAGCCGTCTATGCTAACTCAGCCGTCTATGCTAACTCAGCCGTCTATGCTAACTCAGCCGTCTATGCTAACTCAGCCGTCTATGCTAACTCACCGTCTATGCTAACTCAGCCGTCTATGCTAACTCAGCCGTCTATGCTAACTCAGCCGTCTATGCTAACTCAGCCGTCTATGCTAACTCAGCCGTCTATGCTAACTCAGCCGTCTATGCTAACTCAGCCGTCTATGCTAACTCAGCCGTCTATGCTAACTCAGCCGTCTATGCTAACTCAGCCGTCTATGCTAACTCAGCCGTCTATGCTAACTCAGCCGTCTATGCTAACTCAGCCGTCTATGCTAACTCAGCCATCTATGCTAACTCAGCCGTCTATGCTAACTCAGCCGTCTATGCTAACTCAGCCGTCTGTGCTAACAGAGACCTGTAGATTTCTCATGAAAGTGGGGGCCAGTGGTCCGCTGTGATTGGTCACAATCTGCGACCCGAAACACATTCTCTTCCTTGTTTCATCAAAACCCGATCTAAAATATAATGTCACGCCAGCACAAATCTGCGATACTTTTTCTTCAAAAGGACGTATATCCCAATGCACTGCATGGACATGGATTGCATTTTCGTAATAAATACAAAAATAAAGTCAGTTAGTGCAGCTTTAAGTCCACTGTCCTGAGCACACTAACCTTCAGTTTACATTTGGTTGAGTTTTGCGTTGAGTTGGTCAAGGCTCCTTTAACATATCTGTCCTGTTAACACAACGGGCAACATTGGGGCCAGTACCCAGCAGGCTGCACATTAGCATGTAAACTTGACTAACCCTTCTCTGCAGTGAGCCTACTGAGACTACTGCGGCAAAAAAATTACTTAACACTTACTTTGGAATTCAATTCATATTTAAATAGATAGATCATCATAACACATCACAACAATTTTCTCAATAACCATGTTTCTCTTTCATTATGTTCTAAATAATTCCGGTATAATGCAAAGTGTGGGCATGTCGGACAAGATTTGAAATCTCTATAAAGGGAAATACGAGTTATTTCTGCCTCCAAACTGATATACAAATCAGACAAGTCAGGTAGTGCAAAATAATGCACATTTGCCCAGAGGCGTCCCGTGCCAAAAGGCAAGGCAGGCAGCTACATGGGGCCCCAAGACCGGCAGGGGGCCCCCGAGGGCCGACTGATTTGACACAAGCGGTCGACTTGTACAGGCTACAACAGCTACCTGCAGTGACGAGTTGGCGGTTAAAACTCTTCGTCTGATGCGAAACTTGCCACGTTCTTATTAACAGTTAAAAACCCTTTCTGGGGCAGCCTCCATATTGAATGTAATGTTGGTCTCGTGGTTAAGATTCAGCGCCCGCAGCAATGGCCTGTGTTCGAATCTGGATAGGAGCAGTAATTTGGATTAAACTATTTATCATATGACAGTTTGCTCAAAAATGGCAAAAGGTAAAAACAAGCCGTTTTTTTCTGATTAAAGCTCAGAGCCTAATCTTTAATTTAGACTATATAAACACTGAGGGCCAAATGAAAGATTAGATTTTGTAGGAATAATACACTTGGACAGGTAGTTTTTGTAATTAATGATAACATGATGAGTGTAGTGAACAAGCGTATAAAAAGACATGCTAAATTATTTCTGATTGCTTTGTGTCACGATAAGTACTGAAGTATTCACATTTTTCTATGGTAGACTGTACAGTATGCCAGGCAGGCCCCAGGGTCCGAGTACTTTTGCATTCAATACATTTTCTATATTTGAAGGGAAATGGAAAATCAAAAAAAGGCTATTTTGCATTTTCAAGCACAAGGCAATATACAAAAATGACCATTTTGGTTTTTTCATTGCTTATAAAACATATATATTATAATAACCGGATTTGGGAACTTGAAAATGCAATAAATAAACCTTTTTTTAATATGTATTTAATACATTTCGGCGTCAATCAATTACCCAAAAGTGAAACAAGTTTGTTTACTTCAGCTCTATTCGCTCTAATTTAGTATAATTTAATACTGTGATAATACTAATCCCGAGAGAATCTACATGTCAGTGATTGTGATTGCCGCTTTCTCTACTTTCTGCGTTGTCTGTGTTTGTACGTTTACTCTGCACTCTGTCCTAAAACAGACGTGTTGCTGCAGCCATTACTTCAGTTCAGTTTACTTTAACTATTATAAAACAGCACAGACAGTATGGGCCAGAGAAGTGTGGAGCAGTAGAATGTTTGTCCTCATGTCTCTGTGGCGGCTGTGGTCCATAGTCTGTATAACTGTGGTCAGACTCTCTGGACTGTGTGAAGCAGAGAGACCCGCACCTGTGGCCGTTATGTCAGATGTCAGTGACCGCACCTGTGGCCGTTATGTCAGAAGTCAGTGACCGCACCTGTGGCCGTTATGTCAGATGTCAGTGACCGCACCTGTGGCCGTTATGTCAGAAGTCAGTGACCGCACCTGTGGCCGTTATGTCAGAAGTCAGTGACCGCACCTGTGGCCGTTATGTCAGATGTCAGTGACCGCACCTGTGGCCGTTATGTCCGATGTCAGTGACCGCACCTGTGGCCGTTATGTCAGATGTCAGTGACCGCACCTGTGGCCGTTATGTCCGATGTCAGTGACCGCACCTGTGGCCGTTATGTCAGATGTCAGTGACCGCACCTGTGGCCGTTATGTCAGATGTCAGTGACCGCACCTGTGGCCGTTATGTCAGATGTCAGTGACCGCACCTGTGGCCGTTATGTCCGATGTCAGTGACCGCACCTGTGGCCGTTATGTCAGATGTCAGTGACCGCACCTATGGCCGTTATGTCAGATGTCAGTGACCGCACCTGTGGCCGTTATGTCAGATGTCAGTGACCGCACCTGTGGCCGTTATGTCAGATGTCAGTGACCGCACCTGTGGCCGTTATGTCAGATGTCAGTGACCGCACCTGTGGCCGTTATGTCAGAAGTCAGTGACCGCACCTGTGGCCGTTATGTCAGATGTCAGTGACCGCACCTGTGGCCGTTATGTCAGAAGTCAGTGACCGCACCTGTGGCCGTTATGTCAGAAGTCAGTGACCGCACCTGTGGCCGTTATGTCAGATGTCAGTGACCGCACCTGTGGCCGTTATGTCCGATGTCAGTGACCGCACCTGTGGCCGTTATGTCAGATGTCAGTGACCGCACCTGTGGCCGTTATGTCCGATGTCAGTGACCGCACCTGTGGCCGTTATGTCAGATGTCAGTGACCGCACCTGTGGCCGTTATGTCAGATGTCAGTGACCGCACCTGTGGCCGTTATGTCAGATGTCAGTGACCGCACCTGTGGCCGTTATGTCCGATGTCAGTGACCGCACCTGTGGCCGTTATGTCAGATGTCAGTGACCGCACCTATGGCCGTTATGTCAGATGTCAGTGACCGCACCTGTGGCCGTTATGTCAGATGTCAGTGACCGCACCTGTGGCCGTTATGTCAGATGTCAGTGACCGCACCTGTGGCCGTTATGTCAGATGTCAGTGACCGCACCTGTGGCCGTTATGTCAGATGTCAATGACCGCACCTGTGGCCGTTATGTCAGATGTCAGTGACCGCACCTGTGGCCGTTATGTCAGATGTCAGTGACCGCACCTGTGGCCGTTATGTCAGAGGTCAGTGACCGCACCTGTGGCCGTTATGTCAGATGTCAGTGACCGCACCTGTGGCCGTTATGTCAGAGGTCAGTGACCGCACCTGTGGCCGTTATGTCAGATGTCAGTGACCGCACCTGTGGCCGTTATGTCAGAGGTCAGTGACCGCACCTGTGGCCGTTATGTCAGATGTCAGTGACCGCACCTGTGGCCGTTATGTCAGAGGTCAGTGACCGCACCTGTGGCCGTTATGTCCGATGTCAGTGACCGCACCTGTGGCCGTTATGTCAGATGTCAGTGACCGCACCTATGGCCGTTATGTCAGATGTCAGTGACCGCACCTGTGGCCGTTATGTCAGATGTCAGTGACCGCACCTGTGGCCGTTATGTCAGATGTCAGTGACCGCACCTGTGGCCGTTATGTCAGATGTCAGTGACCGCACCTGTGGCCGTTATGTCAGATGTCAGTGACCGCACCTGTGGCCGTTATGTCAGATGTCAGTGACCGCACCTGTGGCCGTTATGTCAGATGTCAGTGACCGCACCTGTGGCCGTTATGTCAGAGGTCAGTGACCGCACCTGTGGCCGTTATGTCAGATGTCAGTGACCGCACCTGTGGCCGTTATGTCAGAGGTCAGTGACCGCACCTGTGGCCGTTATGTCAGATGTCAGTGACCGCACCTGTGGCCGTTATGTCAGAGGTCAGTGACCGCACCTGTGGCCGTTATGTCAGATGTCAGTGACCGCACCTGTGGCCGTTATGTCAGAGGTCAGTGACCGCACCTGTGGCCGTTATGTCAGATGTCAGTGACCGCACCTGTGGCCGTTATGTCAGATGTCAGTGAGAAGAGTATTTTACAGATGTTGCTTCTCCCGTGGGAATGAGCTGCAAAATCTCAGACGTTCTCCGTGATTATCACAAATGATCAGTGGTCCACAGGTGATTCTAATCTCGTGTGAGTAAACTAAGTTGTTTCACTTCTGGGTAATCGATTGACACCGAAATGTATTAAATACATAATAAAAAAAGGTTAATTATTGAATTTTATAGTTCCCAAATCCGGTTATTATAATATATATATGTTTTATAAGCAATGAAAAAATACAAAATGGTCATTTTTGTATATTGCTGTGTGCCTGAAAATGCAAAAAAGCTTTTTTCGGTTTTCCATTTCCCTTCAAAAATAACAAATTTATTGAACGCAAAAGTACACGGACCCAGGCCTATCCATTTATTATTAAAAATAAGAAATTATTTACATTTAATTTATATTAATGTAAACAAGTAACAGATATTGCATTTTACCCGGGGCCCCCAAGGACTCTGTTGCCTGGGGCCCTGGGTACCCTTGGAACGCCACTGCATTTGCCTAAGAGGTGGTTAAAGTCTGAAGTGGGAGCTCATATTGGGTTTGGAGGCAAAGTCCAGTCTTTCAAACATCTGTCTCGTCTTACTTACTTGAACCCTGAGCACAGGGGCCTTTGCCTCAGCCCGGCGGGTTGGTCTGTTGCCATGTTTGGTCATATATCGTACAAAATACTATAATACTTGAGGGATAAGCAATAAGAACTGACAGAAGATGCTCAGTGCTGTGTGTTTCTGAAGCTGGTGTAAAGAATAACTCAAAACCAAATGTCAAAGCAATTATTCAAAAGTAAATACAAATGCAGCTTTTATGCATATTTTTAGCTAAACATTTTTACTAAATGTTCATAGTATGCAGTATAGAAAGTTTTGTGTTTACTTTTTCTTGTTTAAGCATGCAAAATATTAATGCTTTTTTGTCAGGCTTATCCAAATATTTTATTTTTATTCTTTTACTGAAAGTTCACACACAAGCAACAGGCAATTGTGAAGATAAAGTAAAATTATATATAATTCTCTTATTATTTTAATCATAGAAAAGTGTAACATGGGCCTGCACAAGTATTCATACAGCTTTTTTTTTAATCATGATTTTTTTAACGGGCACAACTTGTCCTAATGATTAAATACAGGCCTCGTGTGTGTAATCTATACTCTCAGTATAAATACTGCTGTTCTGTGAAGGTCTTCGAGGTACGTGTTTTGGTCACTAACCAACCTCGTGAAGGCCAAGGAGCACACCAGAGAAGTCAGGGATAAAGTTTTGGAGAAGTTTAATGCCGCGTTCAGACCAGATCATGCGTTGCGTCTGCTTTCAATGCAAAGTCAACGGTGACGCGCGTTGACCTCTCGGCACACATGTACGGACTGTTCAGTAGAGACGCACGGACTGTTCAGTAGAGACGCACGGACTGTTCAGTAGAGACGCACGGACTGTTCAGTAGAGACGCACGGACTGTTCAGTAGAGACGCACGGACTGTTCAGTAGAGACGCACGGACTGTTCAGTAGAGACGCACGGACTGTTCAGTAGAGACGCACGGACTGTTCTGTAGAGACGCACGGACTGTTCAGTAGAGACGCACGGACTGTTCAGTAGAGACGCACAGACTGTTCAGTAGAGACGCACAGACTGTTCAGTAGAGACGCACGGACTGTTCAGTAGAGACGCACGGACTGTTCAGTAGAGACGCACGGACTGTTCAGTAGAGACGCACCGACTGTTCAGTAGAGACGCACGGACTGTTCTGTAGAGACGCACGGACTGTTCTGTAGAGACGCACGGACTGTTCTGTAGAGACGCACAGACTGTTCAGTAGAGACGCACGGACTGTTCAGTAGAGACGCACGGACTGTTCTGTAGAGACGCACGGACTGCTCTGTAGAGACGCACGGACTGTGCGGGAAAGTCGAAGGGGAGGAGCAGAAGCGGGAAATCGACGCCCACAGGAGATAAACTTTGCTCATCCTTTCCTCGGGACGTTTGTGCAGCGACCAATCAGAGAGCCGCAAAGTGGTCACAGGGACATTAGTGTCTGAGCGAGCAGACTGAAAATACTGTAAACAGCCAAAACAGGAACTATACCAGGACTAAACCAGGACTAAACCAGGACTAAACCAGGGTTGACAATGGGGGACTCTGTGCTTGTGAATATGTGAGTTGTCATGCTCCCGTGACCTTATGCAACTGCTTCGAGCGTGTTCGCCGATGCGGAAATACCGTTTAATAATAAAATAAATGTATGGCGCACCTCCGTGAACACATACTGCTGTTATATAAAGCCGTGGAAGGTCTCTGTTCAAAGACACGCTGCAAAGCTGCATATTGGAGAAGATCTGTACACAAGAAGCCGCTAGCATAGCTCTGTTAGCATCAGAGCCGGCTACTTCCGGCACTTCCGGCGCTGGCCAGGACGTTCTGATGTGAAGTCCTCTGCGTCTGAAAACTAGAGAATGCGCGTCTGGTGAGCGGGGCCTCAGCGTTTGAGCGTTTGCGGCCTGAATGCACCATAAGGCCCCGTCCACACGTAGCCAGATATCGGCTAAACCGCAGATATTTGTCTTCGTTTGCACCTGTCATCCACATGGCAACGCATCATAAACAAATATATAAAAAACCTCCGGCAAAGTGGAGATTTTTGAAAACTCAGTTTACACATTTGCGAGTAGACAGAGATAACCGCTGTGAACATCCTCACTCCACATCAGAGAGCAGCAAAGTGATCACGGGGAGACACGCTCGAAAACAAGACAAGGGATGAGACCTAAAACCAGACCAGACCGGACCCACAAGACCGATAAGGAGCCAGACGATGCATTAGGAGGCACATCCGCCCTATTTCATACATTTTCATAAAAGGGTTTGGTAGGACATTATGAAAAGCAGTCTGAGCAGGGACAGAGAGAGGGGGCATCACAGAGCACCTCATTGTCTTCTCATTACATTTTCAGGCCTGGAGGGATAGTTAAATTGGCTCAGCTCATAGGGCTAGTTAGGAAAATAATAGATTGTATTAATATTAATTGTAAAGAGAATTAAATTTTGTTTTAATTGAACTCTGGAAAATCTTGCTTTTGTTTTCTGTATCAAAAATACAGCCTAAGCCAGGTGTCCACTCCCGCGTAAACCCCATACGCTAGCGCCGGGGATTTGGCTGCAGGAGGCCTATCCCATAGTGGGGCAGAGGCTCCAGCACGGGAGCGACAACGTCGTGTTGACACTGCCAGGAGGAAGGCGTGAGGGACTGAAGATTGTCTAATGGAGGCGAGGCGGGCTGGGCCGGCATCGTCATTCGCATCCTGACCACAGCCGATGCGGTCAGATACGAGTAGCGATCCAGGGGATAACACGGTGCTCGCCCTCCTGGGACAGGACAGGGCGTCTTTGTCGAAAGCCTTCACCGAATCCGCTTCACCGTACTCCGGCTTCGGTCCCGATCCGGAGCCTGACGCATTCGAGGAACCAGACGAAACAGCACCATGAGCGGGCCCACCCTGGGCATCACTCAAGGTGGCATTTAGTAAGCCACTACTGACGCTTTTCCACAGTAACGGTACGGTACGGCACGGCGCGGTTATTTTGCATTTCTGCTAGGGTTGGGATTGGGATTGGGGGTACTTTTTTTGTATCACTGTGGTTCCATCCGCACCGAAGCTACACCATGGCGTGACGTCAGCTGACTGCCTTACTCTGATTGGTCAACGAGTCTTGAAGTGACGTCCGACCCTGTGGTAAAAAACAACTCAACCCCGCCATTTTTAAAACCGGCTGCTCTGCCATGGATCTATAGTCCTCCTCACTCCAGGGAAATGGAATCGCATAGAAAGCCCCAAAAGGCCCTGGTCGGTTGACGAGGTCCACACGTTACTCTCTTTGGGCCGACGAAATAATTCAGGGGTGGCCAACCCGCGGCTCGTGAGCCGCATGCGGCTCTTTGGCTGGTTCCGTGCGGCTCTCGGGCTTTCACTCGACAAGCGTCAAAAACGCCTCGGTGGTGGCGCTGCCTTTCATTCCATATGTAGTTCTGACCAATAGTAAAGGCCGACTTCACTCCACTAGCCAGGCCACCAAAACAATCTGACGTCGGCGAACGTCAATTCTGGTTGGTCAGATGCATTGTCAATCACTCTGCAGCTGCCGCCTCAGCGGTTGCAAAAATCATAACAAACAACACGTTGCCTCGAACCATGACGTCCGTACGGAAAACAATTCCTTGGTCGCTGGATGAGGGCAACACCTTCCTCAGTTTGAGGAGAGGACACCAGCCTGATCTCGCTGGTTCCACCAGAAACCAGAAGGTGTTTGTGGAGCTAGCGCTAAGGACGGAGCAGAATGATTCCCACAAACATGACAATGCAGAGAAAAGTTAAAAAGCTTAAAAGTGACAACCGTGAAATGAAAGAAAGCAGCAGAAGTAGAGGCAGACCCGAAAAGTCTGGAGGTGGTTTGACCAAATGGATTACATTTACGGACATCGGCTAACACCGGCTAACATGCTAAAACCAGCTAACAACAACTAGCATTACACCAGGAGATAAGCCAACTCTGCCTGGTGAGTGTCTGTCTTCAATCAAATGCAAAAGTATCTGGTCTTATACTGAGCATGTGTCTGTGGTTCTAAATCAGCTAAAGTGGTGTTGGTGTTATGTGTCAAATCTATATCTTTTACTAAAGACAGTTGTGTTTCTGCTGAACACTGGGTTGAAACTTGATTTTTTTTTCTTGGTTAGAGATTGAAAGCATTCATTTCGGAATCATAATTGATGTTCGCTGACGTGAAATTGTTCTGGTATCGACTCGCCCGGTTAGAACCAGGGCCAAACCATTAATAAAAAGTACCGGGGAGCGGCTAAAGCGAGCGGTGGAAGCGCCGCAAACCAGGGAGAGTCGAGTCCTGCCCTTTAGTACTGTACGAGTCAATTTCTGTCATTATCATGTTGATGACATTTACAATAAATCTGTCTGAGCAGAGCACACCTCTCTCTGCACAGACAGATTGCATGTGTGTGCGCGTGTCTGCTCGTGTGCGTACGTGCGCGTGTGCGTGCGTGTGTAAGGGTTGGGGTGATGTTTATGTAGTGCACATTTGTATGATGTGGCTCTTTGCTGTAACACAGTAAAAAAAATTGGCTCTTAGTCTCTGACTGGTTGGCCACCCCTGAAATAATTCAAAGGCAGCTCGACGGAACGAGGTTTTCAGGAGATCACCCAGCTCTTGAATTGTGACTAGTCTGTGGTAATCCTGGAAATAACTGGTTAGCTACGAAGCCTGTTGGCCCAACAGGATCATTGGAACATTTCAACTCTCACTGAAATGTATTTACTCGTGTAAAAGTTTAATTGTCTGCTGTAGACAGCGAGCTATAGCTACATTTAGCTATCGATAGCAAGCTAAAACATCCTTCCTGTTCTACTGTGCTGTATTTTGCACTTTCAGGTTTTGCCATTCTGTTTTGTGCTTGCACTTAAGTTGTTGTGTGTACATTAGTTTGAGAATCTCTTCCCACAAGTGAGGAAAGTACCAACAAGCAATGAGTGACCGGAGTACTTCACTTTCTCCTCATCTGGACTTTGTCTCAAGAAACATACGTACTTTGGACTTTGTAAACTGTTGGTTTTGCACTTTACATTTGTTTTTAATAAATCTGTGATCGTATCAAGACTTTGTGTCATTCATTTGTCTGTACACATACAGAAAATTGGTTCAAAAGTTACGATTTCCTCCATATACTTTTACTTCTATTCACATTACATACATTTTATTTGTCTGTATAACCGTGGTAAATTTGTGAACAAAGATGGAGACATTTGCTAAATACAAAAGTTTATTTTTGGTCAAAACAAGGGAAAAATAAATGTTTAGGCATATGACAAAGTTATGCATCAGACCCCCCTCTGCACCAGTGCTACACAGCTGCTGCTGCTACAGGTGTGTAGTCACAGGTCTCTCTATGGTTCTCACAGATTGTACAGAGCAGGTTAGCACCACTGACTTCACATGTTCAGTGTCCGAGTCTTTCCTTTAAGACTGCCAAAAGCATTTTCAACAACCACTCGCACTGTGCTGAATTTTCTATTACATACTTGCTGTTTGTCTGTCACTCGCCCAGTGTCCTGAAAAGGTTTTAGGAGCCAGTTCTGCAGGGGGTAAGCAGAGTCCCCTCTAAGGTTATAATAAATCCATGCACCGCACCAATATTACTGGTTACACGTCATGCGCAAATGACGTAGTCTGACGATCTCTCCCACACTGAAGAGGTACTATTTTAATGGAAACCCACTCACGGCCGTGCCGTACCGTACCATTACTGTGGAAGAGCGGCGTAAGTCTGTCACGCTCCTTCCCAGGGAGTGCGAAGCAGGCCACACAGATGTAGCTGTCCTCCACGGACATGACGCCAACCCAGGCAGAAGACGCAGGATTCGTGGCGGTCAGTTTGGGAGAGTCCCGCGCGGCACAAGTCGCAGACCCGCAGCCTGACACCGGAGGGTGACAATATCTCAGGCGGGAGAAATCTTGCTTGAAGACATCCAAACACTAGATCAAAGCTTTTCTTGGGCAAACTGAGAGAGAAAAGAGAAGAGCTGTGGTGCAGGGCTCTTATATAGGGGACCGGCCTACGCCAGGACGTCACGGTGATTGGAGGGGTTGATCGTGGGATCTTCTCAGGTGCCAGAAGCGGTGCTTCTGAGAGATATGCAACAGCAAAACTTAAAGGGTTGAAGCAACATAGAAATAGAATCTATTTGGATAAATCCATTTCAAATCACTTCTAGCAAAAGTTACCTACTTCTATATTGTATTACATAGTGGAAAAGGTTCAAATCTTTTTGGAAGGTGAGCGTATGTGAACAATGCAGACAGTTACTTGTAAACAAAGCGGGCGTGAGAAGAACTGGGCTCATGCATGTCTCTTGTTTTAGTAGGCCTTCCCTCTCGGGAGCAGGTAGAACGTGGCGCATGTGCATTTTTTCTAAAAGTGGAGAGGGCAGTCCTTCCCTTAAATTTGGGAAAATCCTCCCATACCCTTAAAAAACTCTAAATGAGGGAGCTGTTTTAATTTTCTTATTGCTTAGTAGGGAAATTTGTAAGCTGCGTTTGACAAAGGCCACTATGAAAAACATTATGGAGTGACCCAAGCACATACTGCAACTGGACCTTTGTCAGGATCACCTTTTACAGCTGGAGGATATCGAGTATTAGGTTGTTTGAATTATAAACATGCAAACTCCACACAGAAATGCCTGGTCTATCGTCACCTTTAATTTCAGTTACAAAAAACTTAACATCTGATAGGTAACTATTTGCAGACAGCAAAAAAATCCCTTGTTTGTTCATTTTCGGGTGAATGATATTTTATGATAAGCGCAGCTGATTTGAGGTCATTGAAAGCCACAGAAACACCTATTTGTCTTTTTTCTTTTGGCACAGGAAACAATCACACTATCACAGTGAGCACAGGATATCACCTCTTTAGGAAAACAAGGGCCAAACCTGTGCCAGTTGTTCTCACATGTGATCAATTATATCACAGACAAGTTTCAACCATTACTACTTTAGTGAAGGGATCATACTGGAGCTACTTGTGACTAAACACTAAATAAACACATTTGGCTAATAGGTTGTTCATGCTTTGAGTCGCCCAGTGGCTACATGCTTGTTACACTGGAAGGAAAGCAATGTTTTGCTCGCAGCAATACACACATGCTCTTAAGGAAAAAAAACAAAGCTGATTATAATATCTTTTTGTGTGACAATATAATTGTTGCAATTAGAGGCCATGCTCAATTTGATTGTTAAGGAAAACCAAAATATATTATTTATTATATTTACTGTAACGTACATATAAAGAAACACACACACCTTTCTCTCTCCTCGAGCGGCCTCTCTAAGCTCGGGTCCTCCACCAGAGGCCTGGGAGCTTGAGGGTTCTGCGCAGTATCTTAGCTGCACATTTCTGGGCTGAGGTTTCTGAGGTTGTTCTATGGATCTGCTGTAAACACTCTTCCAACTTCGGGGTTCTCTGCCCCGAGTGCACCGATCACCACAGGAACCATTGTCACATTTACCTTCCTCTCCAGCTCCTCTCTGAGCCCTCGGTATTTCTCAAGTATTTCGAGTTAATTTATCTTGATGTTACCATCGCTTGGAATTGCCACGTCCACCACCACGGCTGTCCTCTACCCTTTGTCCACCACCACGGCTGTCCTCTGCCCTTTGTCCACCACCACGGCTGTCCTCTGCCCTTTGTCCACCACCACGGCTGTCCTCTGCCCTTTGTCCACCACCACGGCTGTCCTCTGCCCTTTGTCCACCACCACGGCTGTCCTCTGCCCTTTGTCCACCACCACGGCTGTCCTCTGCCCTTTGTCCACCACCACGGCTGTCCTCTGCCCTTTGTCTACCACCACGGCTGTCCTCTGCCCTTTGTCTACCACCACGGATGTCCTCTGCCCTTTGTCCACCACCACGGCTGTCCTCTGTCCTTTGTCCACCACCACGGCTGTCCTCTGCCCTTTGTCCACCACCACGGCTGTCCTCTGCCCTTTGTCCACCACCACGGCTGTCCTCTGCCCTTTGTCCACCACCACGGCTGTCCTCTGCCCTTTGTCCACCACCACGGCTGTCCTCTGCCCTTTGTCCACCACCACGGCTGTCCTCTGCCCTTTGTCCACCACCACGGCTGTCCTCTGCCCTTTGTCTACCACCACGGCTGTCCTCTGCCCTTTGTCCACCACCACGATGTCAGGTTGGTTCATTACCATTCGGTCGGTCTGTATCTGGAAGTCCCACAGGATCTTCGCACGCTCATTCTCCACCACCTTTGGAGGAGTTTCTTAGACCTTGGGGTTTCCAGCCCATACTCTGCACAGATGTTTCTGTACACTATGCCAGCCACTTGGTTATGGCGTTCCATGTAGGCCTTCCCTGCAGCATCTTGCACCCTGCAGTTATGTGTTGGATCGTCTCAGGTGCCTCTTTGCACAACCGACACCTTTGGTCTTGTCTGGTGTGGTATATCTGGGCCTCTATCGCTCTGGTGCTCAGGGCCTGTTCCTGTGCAGCCATGATGAGTGCCTCTGTGCTGTCCTGTAGGCCAGCCCTTTCTAGCCATTGGTAGGACTTCTTGAGATCAGCCACTTCTGTTATGCTCCGGTGGTACATGCCGTGTAGGGGCTTGTCCTCCCATGAGGGGCCATATTCACTGAGTACGTCATCCGTTTTGGCCTTCTCCGTCTTGGACAGTGGCTCTCACACTCACTAATCCTCGGCCTCCCTCTGGCTTCCGTACAGTCTCAGGGTGCTGGATTTGGGATGGAACCCGCCATGTATGGGGAGGAGCTTTTGAGTTTTAACATCCGTGGTCTGAATCTCTCGCCACCTGATAATTCCTGCAGGGTCTGATCACTGGCAGGGCTTAGCTGTTAATGACCCGGACCTTGTTCTGGCCGGTGAGTCGGCTTCTTAGGACCTGCCTTACTCTCTGGTGGTATTTGGTAGTTTCTGCTTTCTTCATTTCCTGGTCAAGGTTGCCATTTGCTTGTGGTATACCGAGATACTCAAGTCAGTATGACATCGCAATGTCATGGCTGTAGATCCTGGTGGTATAGATCCGAGAGTCAATGGGCCTCATTCACCAATATCTTCTTAAGAATTTTTTTTAGTGTCCCTTGTCATCCTGAACTTTTTTTCTTCTTAAATCCTTTGGTTTTGTTTAAATCCACACTTTATTGCCACAAACTCTGCTCGTCTGGCTCTTGCTCTAACTCCCGCTCTGATGAACTGCTCTGATTGGTCAGAGCGCGGCCGAGCCCCTCTGTGCACGTGCGTGAGACCCTCTGTGCACGTGCGTGAGACCCTCTGTGCACGTGCGTGAGACCCTCTGTGCACGTGCGTGAGACCCTCTGTGCACGTGCGTGAGACCCTCTGTGCACGTGCGTGAGACCCTCTGTGCACGTGCGTGAGACCCGGTGTGAGACCCACACACGTGTGTTTGGCGCAACGCATTATGGGAGATCATCCACTGCACAGAACCGGGAGGACCAGACGATGCCCAAATACAGGCCAGTTTCCCATAGATCTTTGAGAGTTTCCCATAGATCTTTGAGAGTTTCCCATAGATCTTTGAGAGTTCCAGGCGACTTCCGCTAATCTTTCAGCCCCCATGCCGTCACAAAGCACCACCGAGCACAACCATTCATTTGAATAAGGCGCCATCTTGGATCACCAGGGCTTGAGTTACCTGGACCACAAGGGTCACCCTTTTTTTTCTTTTGCTAGACTGAGATTAAAGTCATAATATTTTGACTTTAAAATCTACATATTATGAGAAGTTGAACTAGCAAAAGTATGAGATGAATCTCAAGATATTACAGACCCTGGGAGGAGATCCAGCGCGGACCCCAGGGAGAGACCAGCGTTGAGACCAATGCGGACCCAAGGAGAGACCATAGACTGAAGAGACCAGCACGGAGAGACCAGCACAAACCCGAGGAGAGACCAGCACGAACCCGAGGAGAGACCAGCACGAACCTGAGGAGAGACCATAAACTGGAGAGACCAGCACAAACCCGAGGAGAGACCATAAACTGGAGAGACCAGTGCGGACCCAAGGACAGACCAGCGCAGCAGCAATATACAGTATATGCCATTGTTTTGTGGCCCCGATTGAGAAATGCACCCTATAACTAGGATGTGGTCACTAATTGATGGCATGATTTCCAATCTATTTGATAAAGCCTTGGCACATTTGATTAAAAAATAAATTACCACAAAAAATGAAATGGAAAAATGCATACGTCAATACGACAGACATATCACTGTAATGTTGTATTTATTGAAGACGACACCAGCGTGCCAACATATCAGCACTGAAATGAGCTTCACAGTACTCCTCAGTATTTGTAGGATTTGTTCTTACCTAAGAGAAATCTTGGATAAGAGAAAAAATCATGAATGCCACAATCTTCGTAAGGACTTTAGAACAATTTTTTTCTTAAGAACAGTTCCTGTGTGAGGCCCAATATCTCTCTCGCTCTTGGCGTACAGCTTGATGTCATCCATGTAGAGGAGGTGACTGATCTTTGCTCCGTTCCTGAGGCGGTATCCAGAGCCAGTCTGGTCAATTACTTGGCTTAGAGGGTTGAGGCCTATGCAGAACAGTAGTGGGGACAGAGCATTTCCTTGGTAGATACCACATTTGATGGTCACTTGTGCGAGCGGCCATTTACCTCAAGGGTGGTCTTCCACATTCCCATCGAGTTTGCAACGAAGTCCCTTAGAGCCCTGTTGATATTGTACAACTTCAAGCATTCCATGATCCATGTGTGTGGCATTGAGTCGTAGGCTTTCTGGTAATCAATCCAGGCTGTGCACAGGTTGGTGTGTTGTATATAAATATATATATACATATATATACATTTACACACATTATATATATATATATATATATATATATATATATATATATATATATATATATATATATATATATATGTACATTTCAGCCGTAGTCCCAAGACAGATTCCAAGGTAGCAGACAGAAAATAAATGAAACCTCGCACAACAGATCACACATGATTAGATACAAAACAGATTTTGACTATAAAACGTGCGTTTATTGTAATTAAAGAGAAAAAGTCTCAGATTTATTCCTCTCAGTGTGTAAAAACAGTCCCCGGTTGCCCTTTTCAGTGCTTACCGAGCAGAAGGCCCCATGAGCAGAGGATCGACCTGTTCTCTGTCCGCAGTGCGCATATCACAACAGTTTAAAGCATAGACAGTCTGATAGTTGCCAGGGAGAGGAGAGCTGAGCCAAACACAGCGCCGCCTCAACAGGACCGGACAGGGCCACTGCCACACACTGGTCACTTGAGCAGAGGTTCAGTGGTACATATATGTTTATATATATAGTTATTATATCTGTTCTAAATAGTGCTTAATTATTATTAAATCAAAGGGTAAAATAATTGGCTGTTTGTATGAATTCTACAGTGTCTCTGATCCACACACTTGATCCTGCATGGAGCTCATCCAAATGGTGAATGTATGTGTCTCTGCTGGCTCATTTGTTTAAAATGACATAAAAAGACACAAGCACAGGGCTGTGCTTGAATAAGCACTGGAACTTTCCAGTATTTTTTTTTGGTCCTATTTTTCGTTTTGTCTGCGTTGTTTTCTCAGTATTGCAATGCATCGCTTGACATTACCCAAGCAAGTTTGAGCTGCAGCGCATCAGCTGAAAGCAATTTGGTCCAGAGTGCAGCTGCCAGGCGGATAAGACTTTCCTTCTTTCGTTTACTTTGAAATTTTCCTTTTTTTCAAAGTCCAAAATACACAAGGCAGCCAAATTGCTGACATGTGTGAGAGGGGCAGCAGGATACATTCTTTCATGGCCCACTATGCAAAACTCCACATTGTTTATTTAAAGAACACTGAACACTTTAGCACTATTAGGAAACATGTCATATAGTAAACTAAAGATTTCCTCCCAGGAAAAATCCCTGTCAGTTTATTATTCTTTTGTTAAAAAGTTATTTTAGTTTGTGTTCCTGATGCACATCTAAACAAGTATGATCAGGCACTAACAGGCTAACCAAACCTGGAAGTGTTGTGATTATTTGTGTTGAGAGGTGTGAGTAGACAGAAGGTAGAGCTGCACTGTCTCAAAACATTAGCTCCATGAGTTTCTGGGGAAACTAAGTGATTTTTTAATTATTTCTGGCCTTATACTACTTTGTTGGATATACACAGTTTACACAGGGTTTTTGTACCAATCCACAAGGATATTATGGTGTTGCAAATGCACAATAATTTAGTTCTATCTGTAACTGGCAAACAACAGTGGTTTTGGCACAGACAAAGGGCAGGCTTTGCTTAGCACATATATCTACCAATCTCCCTTGTGCCATCACGGGCCCAAACAGGGAAACAGGAGGTGACATGAGAGCAGCGTGGTCGGAAAAAGCACCTCAGTTCACAGTGGGATCTGGTCTCAGAGACAGACACAGAGACATACAGCCAGGGCGTGTCATGGTCATGGGATGAAGCAGTGGCTGATGGACGTGGAAGGAACAGATTGAGACTCAAGGGCCTACTGTGAGCAAGAGCCCACCAGGACTTCAGAGCAGCCCGGCACGCATATGACTAACCCTCCTTGACATTCGTAGGAAACTCTAAACTGTACATGCTTGCTGTGAGATAGAAGCCACCCAGAGCAGCCTCGCCGCAGCACGTAGCCCATTGCCCTGCGTCCTTTTTAACTAGTTCTGTTTAGACGAACGCACAACCAAGGAATGCTCCAGTATATCTACAGAAACCACAAACACAACAGCATTAAGACCATATCAGACCTGCTGGCTGGAGTTCAGTTCATCAGTGGGAACGTGCTCCATGCTCTTCAGTCAAAATACAAAGAAAAGTACAATATATCTGATTTAAAAAAACAAGCTGACACAGATGCCTAAAATGCTAATTGGACCAACAAAAAGAGCTGATGCAGAAGATCCTGTAGCTGCCCAAAAGACTATAGAAAGATGGTGGTGGTGTTACAGGGGAAAGTGGGTTGTGGTGGACTTGTAAATAGCCGTTGGACAGAAGGAAGTCAGAGTACAAGCATCAACAAGAATTTCTGGGACCAAGCCAAAATAAACGGGACAGGCGCGCACACACACACACACACACACACACACACACACACACACACACACACACACACACACACACACACACACGGCGAAAGTAGTGGAAACTACATTGCAGCAAGAGCAAAACGGACACAACTCTGAGCAATAACGGAGCTTCCTCCTAAATCCAGAAGTGGCTGCTTCAAGCACATGTTCGATTACGTTATAGGTGGAAGTAGGACGTCAGGTCAGGGCTCACAAAGACTGGTATTTGGAGAAGTTAAGGATCGCCGAACTGGATGTTGACCGTACCTTCTCCCCACAGTCAATTTTATCGATTAAATAAAATGTCTAATTTTGCCTGAATTCACCCTACATGATGTTTATCATTATGACCCTAACCCTAACCCTCACACTGGAGCAGATTTATATGTACACTGTGCTGGTAGCAATAGTCCGCGCTTTTCTGTCTACAGCCAAACATGATACATATTGACGGAAAATGGTGAAAAACACAAATGACGTCTAAGACAAGCTAGGAGATCATTTATTCGTGCCACAGTGAGGAATTTTCAATGTTGCAGCGCACAGACAACACACGTTTGACTTCTGAGTGGTTAGCACTCTCGCATCTCAGCAAGAAGGTCCTGGGTTCGAATCCTGGTCGGAACAGGGCCTTAAGAGTGGAGTTTGCATGTTCTCCCCGTGTCTGCGTAGGTTTCCTCCGGTTTCCCCTACCACTAAAGACATGTACAAGGTATGAATGTTGATTGGGGGCTGATGCCAGTGTGTTCGGCGACTCGTGTGTGGAATGATTGGAACAATATATCTGAACTCTGAACAATGTAAAGCGCTTTGGTTGACCTTGGTCTGTAAAATGTGCTATATAAATAAACATTACTTACTTACTATCTTACTTACTTACTTACTTACTATCTTGTAAAAAGTGCTCACTGCACTTTGATTGCCGCCATCGTCGTCTCATGTCTTCATCAGGAGCAGGTATCAGATAAAAAGACACATTTGGCAAATGTTCTTGCCTGTTAGTACATCCAACCGCACTGCAAAATATCACCGTTTTGGCTGTTATTTGGTGAAACAGGTTATTTTGGTAAAGTTTCCGAAGGCTCGCAGTTTGACTTCCGCCGTCTGTCATGGAGAGTGGGCGTGGCCTGGACTGTTGTCTGTTTTATATGAAGCATGTTTATATGATCTCTCCTGCTCCGTCATGTCCCACACCTTCAGACCCAACGTTCACTTTGTGTTCTTAGGCACATCATTCAGAGGCAGAAGCAGAGCAGCACAGTCAAAGGGTTTCTCTGGAGCATAGAGCAAAAGAATGAATAACACAGGCCCTGGTCATTCCTCTACCATCAACACATTCACATGGTGTCCCATAAAAACTAAATTGTTTGGAATGACAGAGTATAATTTATTTGGGAATTGCAATCTCTAGTATTTGGTTGACAATCATTACTTTTTTTTTTTATGTAAAAATTAGCTCAGTTCTATTTAATTTATGTAAGTCTTACATCGCATTAACTTAAAAAAATATATAAGGAATGTCATTTGGCCATTTGCATTTTTCAAATGTTGGGGAAAGATTAATATTGAATAGATCACATCTTTCTATTGTAACATTATTTTATTCCAGTTCCAAAATAGAGGGATATAAAGAGAATTAATTTCATCTTAAGTCTTGAAGTATGCGACTGCTGCCGTTATAATAGTGGTAATTTTTACTAAAGAACAATTGTGTGTTAAAACCTGCATTGGAGTTCAAAGCCTGGAGACAATAGTATGAAAGCGTCACTCAGTGTATAAAGATCAGAGACAAATGGAAAAGAAGTACCTCCATAACCAAACACTATGTTAATGTTTATCATATCAAGTGCACCCTCATGGTCAAGGCTCTCAGGAGGAAATGCAGCTGATCCTGTGAAAGTGTGTTCCTTGTGAACTTGCATGAGTCAAATCAAAACACCATACTTGTCACCATGACCTAAAAGATTGTATTTTTTATGATATTGCACTTGGCCTTAATTATGGATGTATTTGCAGTGATGTATTATGGACATGTGCAGTAGTTAAATTATTTTGTACGACGCTCCTGGGCAGCATGTTGCCTGTAAAAGCCCTGTATTGTCTATTTCTTTCCTGTGCCGGTGCACATTTCCTGCAGGGCAATCGTGTCAAACTGCAATGACCTTCAGCTTCCTTTAAGTCTCATGGAGATTCAGTCTGGCACGAGCCAGAGGCCTCTGCACCTCCCTCTGCACACACTTATACAGACTGGTCCACACTCCTTCACTCACCTCGGGCCTGGGTCCTTCAGCCTCAGTGCAGGTTCTCTCAAATTAACAAACTGCCTATAATATCTGACCATTGTCAGATATTATAGAAAGAATTGTGTGGTGTTCTTTAGCACAACTCTCAAGGTAAAAGTGCATGTGTGCAGACGCACGTCTACTTGCAGCTATATGCTTTAGTCACATGACCCAAATTAAGCATGTAGTCTTGGTCCAGACCAGGTCAAAGGCAGGAAGTTGCTGGAGAACAAGAGGAAGCAGAGGGAACCGTCTCTGGCTGCAGTTAATGACCCCGAACTTTGCCCTGTGACCGCAGCCTCCTAAAACACACACCGGCAACATTCAGATGCGAGGAGTGTGCCTTTAATTTGCCAAGTTCTGAACTTTGAAAACAGTAATGTACTCAAAAAGAACTTACCACAACTTGTTTTTCTACTTTTATTTTACATTAGGTATACACTCTTGCATTTGGGTCTTGAACAAATTTACATAGAGGGAGGAAAGTGTATTCTTAAATGGAAGTTGTAGTCAAATGAACATAATGTCTATTTAAATATTGACAGTGAATTGAAGATCTATCCAAAAACACAACCTTGTGTTTTACAAATAATTACAAATGTATCTGGACAGAGCTCATGAATCTGTAATGTCTGACGTTCTTTCACCAGGTCCAGAAGAATAACCTGCTTCCATATTTGGAAGGCTCAAGTTTGCCCTCGATGACAGGGTTGGGCTCAGGACGAGGTCTTGAACTGTACGGATTATCAGGGATAGGTCGAACAGTTGCCACTTTGGTTACCTATAAAAGACACAACAATAATGCCATTACATTTGGGTGATTTGTATTTATTTAATTATGTATAAATGACTTATGATAGTGGGAAATATGCAAACACTGAAAGTCACCTTAGACAGGTCTCCCAGTTCAGGTCTCTTCCAACCCAGTTTATCGAGGACACAGTTGTCAAATGTCTCTTGTTGTTTACGACAATAACGGAGCTCATTCAAGTTTGTGTAGTCCAGACAAGTCCAGTACTCTGTGAAGGACTCAGCGCAGTTCCCTTTAATTTGCCTGTTGGTCAAAAGTATAATTAGTTCATGCTGATGCTGCAAAGCAATGATTGAAAAGAAAAAAAACATGCTTAACGTTTGCTTTAACTATTTTATACCGCACAATGTTTAAAAGAATCCCCGTCATAGTTCTACAGTACTAATACATTTATGTTTACAACATTAGACAAAAGATTTTATGTTGAATGTTTTTGATTGTTCACTAAAAGTGAAAGTAAAATGATAAATGATTGTTATTATTATATAAATATGTATACTGTTTTTTTCTGAGTGCATTAAATTGCCTTTAAACATTTCTAATGAATGCTGAATGTTCACACCTTTGTGTTTTACCACCTTATGTGTGTGATCTACTCAGTATAAACAGGGCTGTTCTGTGAGGGCCTCAGAGTCATGGTCGGAGGGAGTTGGTCACTAAACAGCATCATGGAGGCCAAGGAGCATACCAGAGCGGCCAAGGATGTTGGAGAGGTTTAAAAAGGTATTATAGGACGAATACCCCAAATTTTAGGAAAGAACCACCCTCCTCAGAGGGAACGCCTATTGTCTGTCTTGCATAGCACCCGAATAATTGACAATTAGGAATACCAGTAGTCTAGATAAGGGGCAGGGAACAATTGTTTCCTGTATTACAGGCACTCATCAGAATGAAAGACACATGTCCACAGCCTCAGTCACACTACAAACTCCACTATGGCCAAGACCAAAGAGCAGTCAAAGGACACCAGAAACAAAATTGTAGACCTGCACCAGGCTGGGAAGCCTGAATGTGCAATAGGCAAGCAGCTTGGTGTGAACGAATCAACTGTGGGAGCAATTATCAGAAAATGGAAGACATACTAGACCACTGATAATCTCCCTCGATCTGGGGATCTCATCCCTTGGGGTCAAAATGATCATGAGAACAGTGATCATCCCAGAACCACACGGGGGGACCTGGTGAATGACCTGCAGAGAGCTGGGACCAAAGTAACAAAGGTTACCATCAGTAACACACTACGACGACAGGGAATCAAACCCTGCAGTGCCAGACGTGTCCCCCTGCTGAAGCCAGTGCATGTCCAGGCCCGTCTGAAGTTTGCCAGAGAGCACATGGATGATACAGCAGAGGATTGGGAGAATGTCATGTGGTCAGATGAAACCAAAGTACAATTTTGTTTCATTCCATCGCTCATAGTTAAGGTATATCGATTATGAAGATTACAGGCCTCCTGACAAGATGGTAAAGTAGGCTATATTATAATCAAAGAGTGAAAGAGTGAGTTTGCCTTATACCATTAATGTAATTTATTCTAAAAAATTACCCAAAGCAATGATAATGGACCTTTTTTGTTACATATGTGATTCATTGGCTTTTATGAGAGAACACGCTCAGTGAATGTGCCATAAGGAAAGGACACTATTGTCTTTGTGCTCCAAACAATAACCAAGCAACCAATCCTATTTTATTGTCAATAAACATCACTGAACTTAAAAACTCTCCCGCTGTGAATGGTTCAGTGTTTTTAGTGATTGTGTGATAGCACAAAGCTAGACTAGCTAGCTGCATCCCTGGATGCAAACACTAGGTGAAAAAGTGTTGCTTTTGCAGCATAGCTACTGCGCTCGATTTCCATGCCACTAAACACGGGGGTCTGCTCCCCATAAACTAAGTAGGACTGGGCGATGTGGCCGAAACTATCACAATAAAAGTGATTCATATTGATCGATATCGATAATTAGGACCTTGAGAACTCAAGCTGGAGGCATATGTTCCCAAGCACAGTGTCATTGAGACATCTTCATTGAGGCATCTTTCCCGTCTCTGGGGGGCCGTAGTGCCGTAAAGGCTCAAGACACACCTTTTAATTAGTATTAATTACTTATTGTGTTTCAGTTAATTTTTTTAATATTTTTAGACACATTTTTATTTGGGTTTTATTTATTTAATGTATCTATTTTGTCAGTTACTATTATTATTAATAAGAAGTTGCCGCCATTTTCTTTTTAGTGTCACATTTTAATGTTTTACTTTTTATTATATTGTTTTAGTATCCCCAGCTTTTCCTCTGGAGGGGCCCTCTGCACTGGGAGCTGAGGTCTACTGTGGCCGCGGCGGTCTGGCTCTTGGATCTAGTGGGGGTCCGGGGCTTCCTCTCTCCTCTGGGTTCTATGGGGGTATGACGCCTGGACCTGGTGGGGTCTGGGGCCTCCTCTTTCCCCTGGGTCCTGTGTCGTGTAAATGTAAATAAATGTGGTTTTGGGTGGGGCTTGGGGCTGGGCATATTAGATTGTGTTGCATTTTTTGTGTGAATTTTTTTTATTGTCGGTCCTGGTTTAATCCTGGTTCAGCTCCTGTTTTGGCTGTTCTCAAGTGTCTTGTGCCCCCGTGAGGCTCCGTGAGGCTCCGTGAGGCTCCGTGAGGCTCCGTGAGGCTCCGTGAGGCTCCGTGAGGCCCCGTGATAGCCGCACGTGCTTCCGGAGGAAAAAGTTAAATCTCTTGCTTTTGCCGCATGCATCGAGTCGCTTTGCCCACTGCCTCTCTCCATTCGGCATCTACCTTTTTTTGTTTATCATAAGCGAACATTGTTGAGGGCTAGTGACAAGTGAGCGCTCATATCGCGCAAATGTCTGTCACATATGACAGGAGCTCACGGCGAACACACCGCTGTGCAAGAGCGTTGCAAATGCACCACGAAGGCGCTGCGAACGCGCAGCAGATGCATCAAAGAAGTGCAGGAAATGCCACAAAAAGTAGACTTATGAAAAATGAGCAACAAGCTGGATTAAAATGCTTGGCAGGACGGACCCGAAATTTCTAATTTACATTAGTGTCACAATAGACATGTGTTGACCATGGTGAGCTCCCAAAGTCAGCAAGCCAGTGCCAAGCAAACAGGATGTTGGTCGTATGGCAGTTTTTTGTTTTGTACTGTACGTTTACAACAACAATTATTTATTTTAGGGCTGTCAAAATTATCGCGTTAACGCAGCAATTGCCCCGCGCGCGTGACCGCAGGGTAATTGCTGTGAATGGGAGTCCACAGCGTTCTGGGGCAGCTGCGGCTGCTTTGAACAGCGCTTCCCACGTCCAGCACGGGAGCGCGCAGCCGTAACGTGGCCATGACATGCATTTCAGACTTTTCTCAAACGTCCCTCATCCCTGTAACAAACAATAGTTTGTAGAGGCACAATAATGAAGAGGATCCACAGACTTTATGAGACAGAAGAAGAAAGAGGAGGCTTTAGCAGATGTGGAATATGTCGAGCTGAAAAATATGGCATCATTTTTCCAATTGTTCGAAATGTGATTAATTACGATTAATTTATTTTTAAGCTGTAATTAACTCGATAAAAATGTTAATCGTTTGACAGCCCTAATTTGCCATTGGCAGTAAAACCACATGGGAAAAAACTGAGAGACTACCCCAGTAGGGCTGCACAATATATTAATATATAGTTATGACGATATTGGTGCGTTTGATATCCATATCAAAAATATGCAAGACAACAAAACCGACGGATACATCAACATTCAACAATCAAACAAACAAAAAGTATATAAATATATGCATTTGAATGTCATGTTTGTATGTTTTGTTATACGTCTCTTGCGTATAAATGTAGATTGCAATTTTAGGTGATAGACAAAAATATTGCAATATCATCGTTATTGAAATCCTAAACACGCATATGGGGCGACAGCAGCAGTGGCCTTTGGGCCTGAAGGTTGCGGTTCGAGCCCACCATTGGACCTACTCCAACTGCTCCCACTGATGTCTACCGTCATTGTGTCCTTGGGCAAGACACTTAACCCCACATTGCCTGAAGCTCCCGATGAAACACCGAGGCTGTGGCACCACTGATGTAGCAGCCATTTTCCTGTGGACTCACCCCCTGCAGAGGATCAGCGAGGCCTGGTGCTATAAGCGTTGGGTGGCAGCTCTCACACAACATCAGTAAATCACTTGATTTAAAAAGGAATCGTCAAAAAAATATAACAATATAAATTAAATGACCCTTGAAAGATGTGTAACGGACGTGATGGTTTCCGTCCATTTTTCTCCAACAATTAAACTTGAGAAAAAAAAAAATTTGGTCTGATTTCACATTTGATTGGTTGACTAGACAAAGTATCACTTTGTTTCTACTTTGTGTAAAAAAAAAAGAATCTCTTAATTAAATGTGGACATCTGAAAATACGTAACAAACTTCCGCAGCTCATTCCGTTAAATCATCACGTCTGTTATATAAAATAAACAGGGCCGCTTTAGAAAACTTTATTAATGTATAAAACAGTTACATTCTATCAACTTCTAGTAAGTAAGTAAGTAAGTTTTTATTTATATACCGCCTTTTCACTGCAGATCTGAGTCTCAAAGCGGTTTACAATTGTTAATTTTGGGCATTTATCTCTCACTCCACACAGAGATGGGAGCGGGGTCGCCAGTACAGGAAGAATATGCCAGAACTATTGGACATATTTTTAGTGGTAGGGGAAACCGGAGTACCCGGAGGAAACCTACGCAGACACAGGGAGAACATGCAAACTCCACTCAGAAAGGCCCTGGTCCGACCGGGATTCGAACCCAGGACCTTCTTGCTGAGAGGCGAGAGTGCTATCCACTCAGCCACCGTGCCGCCCTAAAGGACAGAGGAGGTGTTTGGATACATGAAAAACATTAAATATCGTCTGATTATTAAAATCTAATTTTTGGCCTTTTTGACAGACGCGCTGAGTTTAACACCTTTGCTCGCACCGGAGCCATTTCTTTGTACCATTTGTGTGAGTGGAATATGACAGTGGCTCTTACTGTTCACTGTTAAAACAATTTCTAAAATGTGTGTTTGTTAACTCATTGTGTCCCATTGACGCACAAATACGTCAAAGCAAATAGTAACGTTGTGTGCCATTGACGCATCCATCCATCCATCCATTTTCTTCCGCTTTATCCGTTGCCGGGTCGCGGGGGCAGCAGTCTAAGCAGAGACGCCCAGACTTCCCTATCCACACACACCTCC